GTACCACTGCAATGCCGTCCCTTGAAGACATGTGGGGAACTCACGCAAACGTCGAGCATCATCCCAAGAATGATATGTGGCAATCACCGTGAAGTGATCGAACCAATGGTACACATCATCCCCAGGATTCCCACGAAAGAACTCCGGCCGAACGCGAGGATTGGCACCAAAAGCAGGAGGAGTTGTACCATGTGCCGTGAACGCCGCCATCAACTAAGTTTGGTTGTTCAATTGCAGGCGCATAGCATCAAGCAATTGAACCAACTGCTGCTCTAGAGTCAAAGGAGGAGATTGCGGATCGGCCATGAAAATGAATGAGAAAGAAAGAGCAAAAGAAGATAAATGACAAAAAGCTGGAAAGAAATGGTAGATCTAGACAATGCAAAAAGCTAGATCTAAACCAAAATCCTGAAAGGAAAGAACAAAAGAAAGGAAATGGAAAAAGTTAGATCTAGACAATGCAAAAGCTAGATCTAAACCGAAATCCCAAATCCAAGCACTCCCCAGGGACAATCAAAGGTGCCCCTCATCTCCACCAATGTGAGTGCATGGAATATGGAAAGGGAATACAGAAATGTGCATATCAATTAACCCAAAAACCCTAGCTTATATACAGGAGCGAGTGGTCCGGATTGAAACTAATCCGACGGCTACCAAAATCCACTACGCTAATATTAGTATACGGCATCGTAGCCGTACACTTGGCCCTCACAATATTAATATAAATAACTAACAACCATTAGATGATAAAATATCTTAGAATGTCCAAGCTTATTCTAGCTAAAAATCATGCAAGAAAATTCTTTTTCCAAATTTGTTAATTAAAATACAATTTAATTTCTATTTACTAAGATTGATAACTGTATAAATTGGTATTTTATTTCTAGATATAAGAAACTGTTAAAAATTTAGATATTATACCTTTAAACCGAAGATCATAACCTCAATCAAAAGTATTTTGAAAAGTCAATAAAAGACACCTTCCATCTTAGGAAGTTTCCATCAACACGGCATTTTAGTCAATATGTTCACGGGTGGCTTCAAGAGTATAAAACCAACCCAAATTCATTCAAGTTCTCATAAACTTTAGCACCCATGGCATTTGCAGCAATCATCGTATCTTTTATACTTTGCATTGGATCTCCCTCCCCCACACTAGCAAACCCATCTAGCATCGTAACTGAGTCTGTGTTTAGGCAGTTCTTCCCATCCAACGTTGCCAATCCTTTCTATACCTATAGTGATTTCATTGCTGCAGCAAATGGCTTTCCTGCTTTTGGAAGCACAGGGAGTCTTGATGTTCAAAGGAGGGAACTGGCTGCGTACTTTGCACATGTGAAGCACGAGACTGGAAGTAATTTTACATAGAAAAATCCATTTCTCACTAATGTCTTGAAGTTTTTCTACTTGATTGTAGCACTGCAATTCATTCGAGAGATCAACCAAAACAACGTCTATTGTAACACTAGCGGTGGAGTTTCATGTCCGGCAGGCACTATGGCTTACTATGGAAGAGGTCCTCTGCAGCTCACTTGGTAAGTTAGAAATGAAAAACGTATGCAGTACAAATCCAACATTTCATCTGCAGGAATTACAACTATGATGCCGCGGGAAGGGCTTTCAATATGAACCTCCTCCAGAACCCAGACCAAGTTGCTCAGAATGGCTTACTTGCATGGAGGTCATCAGTGTGGTTTTGGATGCAAAACTCGAATTGCCACACCGCAATAACACAGAATCAAGGATTTGGAGCTACAATTCGAGCCATCAATGGAGCGCTAGAGTGTGGCAGGGGCAGTGAGACAGAACCAGCACAAAGCCGTATCACTTATTACAGGGACTTCTGCTCACAGTTGGGTGTTTCACCAGGTGAAAACCTTGGTTGTGCTTAAACTAAAGATCCATAATATTTCGAAATAAGTAAGAAACTTCTTAGGGAGTTCATGGCATTCGTAGTCAATATGTTCACGGGTGGCACTAACGACTTTGATATAAAACCAGCGTAATTGATCCAAGTTCTCATAAACTTATCAGCCATAGCTTTTATGTTTTGTAGCATACCGTGTTTAGTTATAACAGCCATTAATTATAGTATTGAAAGTTATAGTCATGCCTCTAGAAGAACATCTCAAGGAGCAGCAGTTGTTCATGGACTCGTACAACAAAATATTTTACGAGAGGGAGGTTTAGAGCTCCCATTCCTTTCTTAGATTGTGCTTGCTGGTCGATGGCTTTGTTTGAACGATGCGGTCGCGCACTGCATCGACTCGGAGCTGGAAATGGTCGAGAGCAGGACGCGGTGGTTCTTGAGTTTCCCGAAGGCTCGACCGTTGGCGAGTTCAAGGCCCGGCTGCATGACCGAGAAGTGTGGAAGTCATGGCCCATAAAGTAAGCCTGTGGTGGCCACTGCTCTCTCTGGCGCACTCGCTGAGCACGCTAAATACTTCCTGGTCGGGCTGTTCTTGATCACTGTCCGGAGACTGGACGCAGCCTGTTATGATGGAATTGAAGTCATAAATGTAAGGCTGGTATCTGCTCTGCCGCGGGGTTGCAACCTTCTCCTCGTCTCTATCACTATCCCTGTCTAAAAGCATCTTGGAAAGGTAACTCATGCAAACCAGGAGCTTGAAGCGGACGTGGTTCGATTCTTGGTTGGTGTTGCAAAAGGGCCTTCTGTAGAAGCTTCTCGTTGTCATGTCTTGACCTCAGAAGTCAAAGCCTGAAGGAAATAATTCACATACAAGTCAAAGACGTGTTCTAAATACCTCTGCGCGTGCGTCTCGCCGAAGTATAGAGAAAGATTCAATCAAAAGAAGTTAATGTCCACAAGTGACACCACATGTGAGACCTTGCAAAGTTCCACTGGAAAATTAGCGTCCGAGAGAATAAGAAACCAGCGACCCTGGACCCTTGACTTCGGCCAGCTGCTCCTTCCACAGCAGAAGATCAGGCATTCCAGCCGTCCACTTATTGTGGTCTTCTGCAAGAAGCTTACAAATCGCTGACAATAGACTCTAATTATCTGGCCTTCAAGCGAGTACTTTTCCCAGTTAACCCCGCTACCTGATGTCCCATGGTGCTCTTCCCATATACATCAAGCTCGAATAACCGGGTTCTGAGATCATCGCTGAAAGGCACGCTGAGCTTAAACCGCCACCACCTTTGTTTCCATGCCTGAGCAACACCGTCCGGCGCATTTACACTCGACTCGCCGGTACAGATTTTTCCGTACACCTGTGCAGCCGAATATCGTGCTGAGAAAATGGATGCTTGATCTCGGTCTGTCCATTGATCAATTCGAGTTTAGTCCTCATCCCAGTCTCGAGAGGAGATGTTGGATTTCCTGTACGCATTTTCCGCTCTCCTCGTCCTTATCTTAGTGTATGCTGGACACTGTTCTTCTTTTTCTTCCCACTTTGCAGGCACCATTGATCAGCGTGCTTGAATCAAAACAGAGCAAAATCCACACAGTGAGTCACAAGCTAAGCTCGGGCCTCCTTTATAATTCCTGGGGAACATCGTAACACTCCTGCAGGAAAAAGATCACAGAAACAATAGAGGCTTGATCACTCACCTGATCCGGAGCCGGCGGAAAGTCCTTGAGTGACACATGGCGCTACCATTTCCCTATTTAGGACGAATCAAAAACTCTCACGGCTGTGACTTGTTGTTCAACTTGTTGAGCCCCACAGCTATCAAATGGACAGCGTGTGCATGACCAAACCAATCCTTACAACGTTTTCAAGGAACAGTTCTTGGTCCACTTCTTCTTGGTTCTTTCCTCGGAAGATAAATAGAATGTAACATCTGATCAAGTCTGATTAACGTGTTCTCTGTTCCAGTAAAATGACCAAGTCAGATCTGGAGTACTATATAAACTCCAGCGACCTCCACACTTCTCCCCACTCCATTCTTTATCAATTCAGTAGCATCACAACAAAAAATCTGTGTGAAGATACAAGATGTCTTACAAGTTAGCCATTTGTCTAGTTGCCATTTGTGCCATTGCTTTCGTCCATGGATCAGATGAAGATGCCCTCCAGGATTTCTGTGTCCGCGACGGAAAGAGCAACACCATCGTCAATGGATTCACTTGCAAGCCTGCAGCGGCAACTCTAGCCAGTGATTTCATGTTCCAGGGACTCAGGAACCCCGGGAACACCAACAACAAGCTCGGATCCATAGTCACCAATGCAAATGTTGGCGTATTCCCGGGAATCAACACTCTTGGCGTCTCTTTTGCGAGGATTGATTATGCTCCATACGGCGTCAATCCCCCTCACGTCCACCCCCGAGGAACCGAGCTCCTCTTCCTCCAGCAAGGAACTCTCTATGTTGGATTCGTGAGCACCACCAACAACACACTCTTCGCTCAAACTTTGCATCCAGGGGATCTCTTTGTGTTTCCGCGTGGTCTCATTCACTTCCAGCTCAACGTTGGGAAGACACCGGCTGTTGCTCTTGCGGGATTCAACTCCCAGAATCCGGGTGTCACCCAGGTAACCAAAGCAGTGTTTGCATCCAATCCTCCCATTTATGACGCTGTCATCGAGAGGGCGTTCCAGATCAATCCCAAGCTCATCCAGCAGCTCAGGGACCTCATCAAGCAAACTTAATCAGCTTGTTCTTGCATTAATTCTTTCATAAATTTCTATAATAGTCAAATTTTGCCTGGCTTACCAAACAACTTGTCACACTGCGAATATTACGACAATATCACGATAAAATGGTCAGTGTAAAGGCTTGTTGGTTCCTTAGTCTCCGATAATGGCTTGACCACGACCCGTACAAACTGAAACAATCCACACTATGGTTTTGATCAAGCCAGTGAAATTAACGTGTTTATCCTCGTTCAATCTTGATTCTTAGGAAGTGTGCTCTCACCATATAAACTCCAGTATAGATTCTCACTCCATTCTGGAACTCATGAAAGCTTCTCTAGATAAGAGCGAATCGATTCACTCCAGCTCCGGTCAAGGACTTGCGATGGATTCCATTTGCTATACATCGAAGCAAATCTCCCGGAACTTGGCCATATCTGGCTCAAACAGGCCGATGATCACGTCGATGCTTCCATCCCTGGTGTAGGAAGGCAGCATGATGCTAATCCCCTCGAATGGCACGTAAGGCCCGCCAGCAAACACCGGAGTTCCATAGCCAAAGTCGAGCTCGTAGATTGGAAGCTGCGCCCAGCTCGTCACGCTCAAGTTTGGGCTCAGCACCGTCTTGCCACTCCTCGCGATCTGGACGGGGTTCTTCTGCTGGAGCTCCACGAAGTCCATCTGGGAGCGGATGTACTCGTTGTCAAGCCGCTTGATGGAAGCCTGGATGAGATCCGTGGCGTAGGATGCTGGTTTCTCCAGGAGATCCTTCGCGGTGCTGTGGCTGCTGGCGTGGGAGATGACGTTGCCGAAGTAGTCGAATAAGGGGTTTAGCCCCTAATCTAGAAACTTAATTTTAGTATAAATTCATAATAATCCCATATATGTATATAGTAGGTCTTGAGTTTAAATTTCGATTTATGTCATTGCCAATAGTGATGAATATACTTTCTTAGTAAATATAAAGATATCATAATATATTTATAAACTATAAATATAATATTAATATAAATAACTAACAACCATTAGATGATAAAATATCTTAGAATGTCCAAGCTTATTCTAGCTAAAAATCATGCAAGAAAATTCTTTTTCCAAATTTTTTAATTAAAATACAATTTAATTTCTATTTACTAAGATTGATAACTGTGTAAATTGGTATTTTATTTCTAGATATAAAAACGTATTGTGGATATTATACCTTTAAACCGAAGATCATAACCTCAATCAAAAGTATTTTGAAAAGTCAATAAAAGACACCTTCCATCTTAGGAAGTTTCCATCAACACGGCATTTCAGTCAATATGTTCACGGGTGGCTTCAAGAGTATAAAACCAACCCAAATTCATTCAAGTTCTCATAAACTTTAGCACCCATGGCATTTGCAGCAATCATCGTATCTTTTATACTTTGCATTGGATCTCCCTCCCCCACACTAGCAAACCCATCTAGCATCGTAACTGAGTCTGTGTTTAGGCAGTTCTTCCCATCCAACGTTGCCAATCCTTTCTATACCTATAGTGATTTCATTGCTGCAGCAAATGGCTTTCCTGCTTTTGGAAGCACAGGGAGTCTTGATGTTCAAAGGAGGGAACTGGCTGCGTACTTTGCACATGTGAAGCACGAGACTGGAAGTAATTTTACATAGAAAAATCCATTTCTCACTAATGTCTTGAAGTTTTTCTACTTGATTGTAGCACTGCAATTCATTCGAGAGATCAACCAAAACAACGTCTATTGTGACACTAGCGGTGGAGTTTCATGTCCGGCAGGCACTATGGCTTACTATGGAAGAGGTCCTCTGCAGCTCACTTGGTAAGTTAGAAATGAAAAACGTATGCAGTACAAATCCAACATTTCATCTGCAGGAATTACAACTATGATGCCGCGGGAAGGGCTTTCAATATGAACCTCCTCCAGAACCCAGACCAAGTTGCTCAGAATGGCTTACTTGCATGGAGGTCATCAGTGTGGTTTTGGATGCAAAACTCGAATTGCCACACCGCAATAACACAGAATCAAGGATTTGGAGCTACAATTCGAGCCATCAATGGAGCGCTAGAGTGTGGCAGGGGCAGTGAGACAGAACCAGCACAAAGCCGTATCACTTATTACAGGGACTTCTGCTCACAGTTGGGTGTTTCACCAGGTGAAAACCTTGGTTGTGCTTAAACTAAAGATCCATAATATTTCGAAATAAGTAAGAAACTTCTTAGGGAGTTCATGGCATTCGTAGTCAATATGTTCACGGGTGGCACTAACGACTTTGATATAAAACCAGCGTAATTGATCCAAGTTCTCATAAACTTATCAGCCATAGCTTTTATGTTTTGTAGCATACCGTGTTTAGTTATAACAGCCATTAATTATAGTATTGAAAGTTATAGTCATGCCTCTAGAAGAACATCTCAAGGAGCAGCAGTTGTTCATGGACTCGTACAACAAAATATTTTACGAGAGGGAGGTTTAGAGCTCCCATTCCTTTCTTAGATTGTGCTTGCTGGTCGATGGCTTTGTTTGAACGATGCGGTCGCGCACTGCATCGACTCGGAGCTGGAAATGGTCGAGAGCAGGACGCGGTGGTTCTTGAGTTTCCCGAAGGCTCGACCGTTGGCGAGTTCAAGGCCCGGCTGCATGACCGAGAAGTGTGGAAGTCATGGCCCATAAAGTAAGCCTGTGGTGGCCACTGCTCTCTCTGGCGCACTCGCTGAGCACGCTAAATACTTCCTGGTCGGGCTGTTCTTGATCACTGTCCGGAGACTGGACGCAGCCTGTTATGATGGAATTGAAGTCATAAATGTAAGGCTGGTATCTGCTCTGCCGCGGGGTTGCAACCTTCTCCTCGTCTCTATCACTATCCCTGTCTAAAAGCATCTTGGAAAGGTAACTCATGCAAACCAGGAGCTTGAAGCGGACGTGGTTCGATTCTTGGTTGGTGTTGCAAAAGGGCCTTCTGTAGAAGCTTCTCGTTGTCATGTCTTGACCTCAGAAGTCAAAGCCTGAAGGAAATAATTCACATACAAGTCAAAGACGTGTTCTAAATACCTCTGCGCGTGCGTCTCGCCGAAGTATAGAGAAAGATTCAATCAAAAGAAGTTAATGTCCACAAGTGACACCACATGTGAGACCTTGCAAAGTTCCACTGGAAAATTAGCGTCCGAGAGAATAAGAAACCAGCGACCCTGGACCCTTGACTTCGGCCAGCTGCTCCTTCCACAGCAGAAGATCAGGCATTCCAGCCGTCCACTTATTGTGGTCTTCTGCAAGAAGCTTACAAATCGCTGACAATAGACTCTAATTATCTGGCCTTCAAGCGAGTACTTTTCCCAGTTAACCCCGCTACCTGATGTCCCATGGTGCTCTTCCCATATACATCAAGCTCGAATAACCGGGTTCTGAGATCATCGCTGAAAGGCACGCTGAGCTTAAACCGCCACCACCTTTGTTTCCATGCCTGAGCAACACCGTTTGGCCATGGGACACTCGACTCGCCGGAAGAAACGATGCAGCACAGTACAGATTTTTCCGTACACCTGTGCAGCCGAATATCATGCTGAGAAAATGGATGCTTGATCTCGGTCTGTCCATTGATCAATTCGAGTTTAGTCCTCATCCCAGTCTCGAGAGAGATGTTGGATTTCCTGTACGCATTTTCCGCTCTCCTCGTCCTTATCTTAATCGTGAGCGTGTATGCTGGACACTGTTCTTCTTTTTCTTCCCACTTTGCAGGCCCATTGATCAGCGTGCTTGAATTAAACAGAGCAAAATCCACACAGTGAGTCACAAGCTAAGCTCGGGCCTCCTTTATAATTCCTGGGGAACATCGTAACACTCCTGCAGGAAAAAGATCACAGAAACAATAGAGGCTTGATCACTCACCTGATCCGGAGCCGGCGGAAAGTCCTTGAGTGACACATGGCGCTACCATTTCCCTATTTAGGACGAATCAAAAACTCTCACGGCTGTGACTTGTTGTTCAACTTGTTGAGCCCCACAGCTATCAAATGGACAGCGTGTGTATGACCAAACCAATCCTTACAACGTTTCAAGGAACAGTTCTTGGTTCTTTTCTCGGAAGATAAATAGAATGTAACATCTGATCAAGTCTGATTAACGTGTTCTCTGTTCCAGTAAAATGACCAAGTCAGATCTGGAGTACTATATAAACTCCAGCGACCTCCATATTTCTCCTCACTCAATTCTTCATCAATTAAGTAGCATCACAACACAAAATCTGTGTGAAGATACAACATGTCTTACAAGTTAGCCATTTGTTTAGTTGCCATTTGTGCCATTGCTTTCGTCCATGGATCAGATGAAGATGCCCTCCAGGATTTCTGTGTCCGCGACAAAAAATTCAACACCATCGTCAATGGATTCACTTGCAAGCCTGCTGCAGCAACTCTAGCCAGTGATTTCATGTTCGAGGGACTCCGCAACCCCGGGAACACCAACAACAAGCTCGGATCCATAGTCACCAATGCAAATGTTGGCGTATTCCCGGGAATCAACACTCTTGGCGTCTCTTTTGCGAGGATTGATTATGCTCCATACGGCGTCAATCCCCCTCACGTCCACCCCCGAGGAACCGAGCTCCTCTTCCTCCAGCAAGGAACTCTCTATGTTGGATTCGTGAGCACCACCAACAACACACTCTTCGCTCAAACTTTGCATCCAGGGGATCTCTTTGTGTTTCCGCGTGGTCTCATTCACTTCCAGCTCAACGTTGGGAAGACACCGGCTGTTGCTCTTGCGGGATTCAACTCCCAGAATCCGGGTGTCACCCAGGTAGCCAAAGCCGTGTTTGCATCAAATCCTCCTATTTATGACGCTGTCATCGAGAGGGCGTTCCAGATCAATCCCAAGCTGATTCAGCAGCTCAGGGACCTCATCAAGCAAACTTAGCCAGTTTGTTCTTGCATTTCAATAATACCTAATCAAATTTTTCTTAGTTTACTGGTCGAAAGACCATCATATATCAGTGACCAAATGCGCGAGCGTGAAGGACTCACAAGTCGAGACACCCAATCGGACAGCAGATCGGTCAACCTCCCTCACTCCAGTCACACCCCTCCATGAAAGCGTGGAATGATTCTTCCTCCTCCACCCACATCCACGGCACTGCAGAGCTCTCGGCAGCAAGCTCTATCTTCTCGGGGGATGGAGCTGCCAGAAATCGGTGAGCATCTTCGATGCACAGATGGAACGCCCTGGCGCCAATGCTGTGTCCTTAAATGTACTTGGTCGGCTCTATGTAGAACCATGTGAGGGGGATTGGACGCCGAGGTATAAGATCCAGTGGACGATCAATGGGATCGCCATCGTTGGCAACCAAAGCCTATTGCCACGCCTTAGTCATCGATTGGAGTGAGCGTGCGCAGTGGGGGCAGAGAGAGGTCGGCATCTCTGGATTGTACGAGCTCAGCTCGGTTGTGCACTCTTACCGGATCTACCAGCCCAACGTTGTGGAGATACGAACATGGGAGGCGCTCCAGCTGAAAAACGCAGCAAGTGATGAGAAGTATTTCTTCCAAGCTGTGAGCTACCTGAAGAAATTTCAAGGTTGTGACGGTGATCCAAGTTCCCAACGATCAGCTTGGTGGAGGTTTTCAAGCTCAGCGTGCCTTTCAGACGATCCCGTGGTGCTCAGAACCTTGCATGCTGAGGTTCTTCGAGCTTGATGTATATGCTGGATCATAAGCTACTACTTACTCTAAAGGCGGTGGGGGCTATAAAGTAGTGTCTTTCAGTGATACTCTCGAGATCCTTTAAAGCCGAGGTTCCAAAATCAGCTATCAGCTTAAGATCAATAAGTTACATGCAAGGATCTCGTGTTTGCAGCAAATGCCTTTCAAACGCATTGCTTTAAAACTTTGCGAGAAGCCCTTGGTGCTCGAATCTGCTTCAGTCAATCCAGATCTGGTGAGACAAAAACCTCAGAACGATATATATAAAAAAAAAAGTCAGCTTACTTTTGTTCCTGGAGCTTGATGATATATCTGGAGCGATAATACTTATAGATCGATCGATGTTCTTGGAGCTTGATGTTATATGGATCGATGAATGATATCTTGGTCGATCTTAGATTGGCTACTACCAGAAGTGGCGCTGGCCAGAGACGAGCACCCAGCAGCTGATGGTGATGTTGCAAACAACATGCGCAATGAGACCATCGAGGAATTGGCCCCGGTAAGCGATGATCCACTGGAACAGGCAGCCAGCGAGCAAGCAACTCCGCCATTCCATCCCGTTGTGGACTGCGAAGAATCCATTGCTCGCTACACACAGCAGCCAGTTCCAAGTCCTCAGCCCCACCGCCTCAAAGCCCCGCGATCGGTCGGGCGAGAGCTTGGCGAGCATGAATCGGTAGAGCCAAG